CAGTGGTGGGAGGGGACCCCCGGCGCCAGGGACCTCCCTGGCTCCAGCTCTGGTGGGGCTGCCCCTGGGTGTCAAGGCATGGGGGGCTGCTGGGGGGGCTGAAGGGACCCACCAACTGCAGGGCTGGAAAAGGCTCATTTTTTTAATGGAAGCGGAAGAGCATCCCACTCCTGCAAGACCCCAAAGAGCGGCTCCTTGCAGAGATGGTGGGCAGCTTGGCTGGCACGGGGGGCGTGTGGAGTCCATGACGGATGCGGGTGTGTCCTGGGGTGTTCCGGTAGCCACCAGCACGGGGACGGGCTCAGCGGGCTTTCAGGGTCACCTCCACTGGGAAATGGTCGCTGACAGCCAAAGCCTGGGTGTGGGGGAGAGCAGAGAGGCAACTGAGCTCATCTGGACCCACCACCACTGTCATGGCCAGCTGGGACCCCATGCTCCGCTCCCACCCCAAATTTTAGACCAGCCCCTGACACGCTCAGGCTGGGGGGTTGCACTGGGATAGGATTGGGGCTGAGCCACCCTCGGGGGGCACCGTGGGGAGCAGGGAGCCCACCCGCGCTCCTGGGAGGCATGGTGGGTTGGATCCTGGTGCTGGTGGGCTCGTGTGCCCCAGCCCTACACTCACATCCTTGTTCTGGAGGTGGAACTTCGCCTGGAAGTCGTTGACGGTGGCGGAGCCAGGCTCGATGTCTTGTTGTAGCGCAGTGCCACAGGCGACGATGCTGCCGGGGCATCACGGGGCGGTTAGCGCCTGTTGGCCCCCCCCACGCCAGCCCCCACACTGCCACCGTGGCACCCACCGGTCATAGGCGCAGTTGGTGGTGGCAGAGACGGTGGGGGCGGCGCTGTCACGGGGGAGGCCACATGCCACTCGCAGGCGCTGATGGAGCGCAGGCGGATGGACGGCCACTGGGCGCCGGTCACGTAGGAGCAGTCGGCGTTGAAGTCTCCCAGGAAGAGGATGTTCTGCAGGGCAGTGCTCTGTGTCCCTGCCCATGGATCTTATGGGGCAGCAAGGGCTCCCTAAAATCTTACCAGTTCCCCCCTGGGTCTCCCCAGTACAGGAGGATAAGCCCCCAGGGATGGCAGCGGAGCCACCCAGCAGCTCCATGCCCGGACATGGCCCTGGCCCACTCCCAGGGGTCCGAGAGGTCTCCCATGGGATATGCCCACCCTAGGGCAGCTGCCGGGATGTGCAGTGGCTGTACCCCGGCCCTGGGAAGAAGCCGAGCTCCCCACTGCCGCTTACGTTATTCGCCCACTTGTTGACAACGTCGGTGTAGACGTCGTAGAGCGCGTCGATCTCTTCGGCTGCGCTGCTGGGCTCAGAGTGCAGAGGCACCAGCACGAACTCCTCCACCTCTGCCAGACAGGCATCCATCAGCCCCTGGCTCGGGTGCAGCACCCAGGAAGGGAGCAGGAGCCCCAGGGAACCACCCCCGGCCAAGCCCCAGCTACCAGCTGGGAAAAACTGCTGAAGGGAAAGGGTGCCTTGGCTTTTTGTGGTCTGTATCTCCTCTAGGCTGGATTTTCCAGCAGGGAGCTGCATCCCTCCATGCGTGGTTTGGGGTTTGCTGCTTGTTTCCCAGCAGTTTTTCCAGCCACTGTGGTTTTGGGAAGGAGACGGGGGTGGGACAGAGATGGGGCAGTGTCTGTGCCCTTGGGAGCTTCATGATGATGTCATGAGGTGGGGGATGGCACAAGGCGGAAGACAGGAGGTGGTGGGAGTTGGGAGGGGATGGGAGATGGCACGTGATGGGGGATGGCAGACGATGGGAAATGGCATGCAACTGGAGGAAGCAGATGGTGGGATATGGCACAGGATGGGAGGCAGCAGGTGGGAAGCATCTGGAGACGTGAGACGGCACGCCACCGGAGACAGTGGGCGGGGGGG